TTTTTTTCAAGTCTTGTGATTGGATAGGGGAACAAGTTTCAAAATTTCAAGAATATCAAACAGAGGGTCATAATTTGAGGGGTTTCAGTTTCTTAAATAAGAATATTTCAATTAAGTGTGTCCACAGATGCTAAACTAATTCCATTCAGCCTTGTGTGGACTATCATTAGTCATATTATTCCCAAAATATTTATATATTTATGGACCTTTCCAATTTGTGATGGTTGAAAAAAACTACTTCAGAATTCTTCATAAATTTGCTTTTGCTGATGTTAAGCTGTGACATATATATTGTCTAATTAACACGGACTTAATTGTTAGGCAGTTTGATTCGTGATAGCTTTAATTCTTTAATTGTAATTTTTGTATGTGGAGTAATTCTAGTACTCGATCATGTATATATTCATAGATAAAAAAAAAAAAAATATATTATAAGACATACATATATGGATATTATATTGTAATAATAGTTTAAATAATGGAATATATCACAATTGTAGCTGAACATTTTGATTCTATGTGACTAATGTGTCATCAGTCATGTGGCAATTTTATAATTTTTTATTTTATTTTCTACGTTTACTTGTAGCCGGCAGAAGTTTTAACTCATCATTTATTTATTTATGCCACAATTTGGAAAAGAATAATAAAAAAAAAGAAAAGTAATTATATTAAAACAAATTAACAAATAAAAAATATAATTTTACTTAACAAACTAACAAAAAGTACAATTATATTAATTTTTAAAACATGATCGTTACAATTTTTATTAAACTCTATAATATTATATATAAATGACGGGGGCTCTTGGGGGCTAATTTCTGGTCCGCCCAATCCAAGAGGGGAGCAGGGTCATGAAGCTCAGGCGAAGGTCTGGGCTTCGTTGTCCGTAAGGTGGAGGGCACCGCGGTCAGGCTGGCTTCACAGAGCAGCACTACCTCCCGCTTCCCGGCAGTGGGAGGATAATGGGCCGGCAACCTCGGCCCAATTAAAGCTAGATGAGCTGATTCCAAATAATCACGCTTGAAAATCATATTAAAATTAATTTATATTTTAATAAAACAATTTATATTATTAAATTTTTAATTAATTGACCTGGACAGTTCAGTTTGTATCTGCTCTCGAACTTCATTTTCTCGCGTTGTCCCTCTCCAAGCGATCTCTTCAGAAATCTGATTTTTCTCGCGCACACACACGCACACTCACAACAGTTGCTCCATTCCTTTTGCTGCGTAGGCATTAAGCTTTCGCGGGCTTTGGATTTTTCAGAGCCAAAAGCGCACATTTTTGTGGGTTTCTGCTGAGCAATTTGAGCTATTGTTGCTCGTGAGGTGTGAAAAAGATTGGAGCTTTGAGGTGAGGTTTTTGACTGGGTTTTGTAGTGATTAGTTCCACTTAACGGGTTGATTTTTTTTCCTACTTTCGTGAACTGTTTGTAGATCTTCAGTGGGTTTGTTCTGTCGATTGCATTTTATTTGTGTACTTGGTTATTGAGGGGTAAGTGATTTATTTATTTTTTTGAACTTTTTT